GGCTCAGCTGGATCCACTGAGCGCCAGTCCATGAGCTCCCGACCTGTGAGATGTTCTTGCATTCCTTGCAAGCACCCGCAGTTGCAGTTCAATCTGGCTGCCTCCAAGACCAGTGCTGGAAGACACCGCGTGCTATAGCAGACGTTCTTGTTTACTTCGTCTTGTTTGGGCTTCGAAAGCTCTCACGATGCCCCATAACCTGACCTCCTACGGTTGATTTCGTTGTGTTCCATGCCTTCTGTGAGACAGTGCACGCGGTTCCCGGATTTCCGTATGCTCTGTGTGGGTGCAGAGCCTTTCAGCACTTTCAGGCATCTCAGGCTATTTTCCTCGGCCGCGCTTCAGCTTCGTTTTGTTGCGGAAGCACGCAGCTTGCTCAGATCCGCTTAGCCCTGCTTGGGTGGCATGTGAGTTCCATGTGCATCTGCCCTTAAGGACTTTGCCGGCTGCCCGAGTGCCTCCGTGTGGGTTCGCTACCAGGTTTGGCTGATCAAGACCTTCTCAGGGTGGCGGCCTCCTCGCAAGAGAAACGTTGGGGTTCACATGCGGGAATAGCCAGCTTCGCGTGCTCTGCAGATTGTGAGCTTGTAATACTCCCCATTTTGTCATCTTCGTTGTCCACTTCCCTCATCCCATATTCCTTGCCTGCTTTTCTTCGCCCGCCCGGCCGAAATTGCCAACTTGGACAACTTGACTGTCGTGCATGCCTGTGCACAGCCTTCAGATAAGAGGTTGTGGAGTTCGACACCTAGCAAGGTGAGTTGGGTTACTGTGCGGTGTGACGTTTAAAGCCAGTCGGGGTGCTTGACGCATGCTTGGTGAGCTGTGACAGACTCTAAGCCTCCCTCCTGCAAAGTTTGGGGTTGAGGCTTCAGGTCGTTGGGCATTGGGGGTTTAAGTCGCCTGCTTGTGCACATCCCACGAGTGTTGCACTCCAGAAGAGAGATGCACGCAAGCCTGTTCAAAAATGTTCTGCAAAATCACATGCCCTCAAGCCACGGTCATGCTGTGCATCTGCAGTTAGAAGTCGTTGAGTCGTTGAGTCGTTGAGCGTGAAGCCGCCAGCGTCCCCATTGTCCCCTGCCTGGGACCTCCAACACTGCCTCCAGGAGAATTTCCCGGAATTCCCGGACCTCGGCCGGCTTGGAAGAAAGAGGCGCAGAAGGCTCAGGCGAAAGCTCCGACGCAGCAGCCCTGGGGCTGATGGCAAACGCACCCGGAGAGCAGCCACTACTTGAAGCAACAAACTTTGAAGAGCAAGATCTTCAGGTGAATCTCGCATGCGCCTCCGGGTTGCAGGTCGCGATCCCTATCTCTTTTTGTGAGTGACTCCCATCGGTGGTGACGTTTGCATCAGCCCCTGCATTTCATCATGTTTCATCGTGCGGTGTGCACGCGCGCTTCTATGATGTGTGCCCCCATGTGTCATCGTTGTGTGGCGTAGGAGTTCAGAGTGCGTGTTGGAGTTTCAAGACGGGAGCACGGGCGTTTTCTTTACTACCCCTGCGGTGCCGTGGCCATGCCCTGCTCTTACGGTGCCTTCTGTTCCCACAGCATCTCGAAGCATGCCTTTCGCTCCTTTCGGGCAAACGAACCTCTACGCCTTCTGCGAGGGCACAGCATGCCCAGCTCTTCCCAGCTCTTCCGTGTTTTGTTTCGCCAAGGTGACGGCCAGACGGCTGCAGCCTTGAACCGCTTGACAGAGCTCTTTTCAAGGCAGCCTGCTGCGCGACAGCTCGGCTTCCTCTAGCCGACTGCTTTTTGTAAGTGTATTGGCCTGTATTGGCGATTGTTCTACTCAGAAGCGAGTCTCCTGTGAGCATCCCTCTCCAGTGGCGAGGCCTACTTTGTGTCCGAGGCAGCGGGTGAACGCTACCTGGACAAGACTGCATTCAACTGAAGGGGGCCAGTTTTGTCGAACGGGCCTGCTCAGTGCTGCCGCCATCTTCACCAAGCAGCACCAGGCCAAGCCACACCAAGCCTCACCAAGCCATCAGCCCCGGGCGGTCCCGTCAAAGAAGCCACGGGAAATGTGGGAGGCGTGGTTAAGCTGAATGATTCAATGTGTATTGAGCACATTCCAATGCAGGGAGGGCAGTCGGCAGTTCTTGTGGGAGTCGGAGAAGGACGTGCCGCCCTCCAGTTTCCTGAGCCACTTCCTGCACGGCTACGCAAACGTGGCGGCAACACTGGCTGATCTCTTCCGTTGCTTCGGGCTTGGGGTTTACAGACTTTGTACACTTTCTTCTTGGAGCCTGGTTGCGTCTTTGGATTGTGCTGCGCGTTCTCACGGCCACTAGCTCAGAGCCTTCAAATCAAAGGAAGTCGCTACTGCTTTGCGGACGGGATTTCTGCTTTCCTCCTTTCTTCTTTGATGACTGGACCGCTTGCATTTCCGGATTGCCCTGTTCTGCGCTGCGTGGAGCTGCACATCAGGTTTTCATTCTGCCTGGATAAGTGTCAGCTCCATACGCCTCCGTGACCAGCTGTGAATCAACGCTCAGGATGTTGCCTTGCATTCTTCGTGGCAAAATGGCATTCCAAAAGATGTACCAGCCCCTATCACTGATTCACAAATCGTTTCCGCTTGTTGGCTAGGTTCCATTCATGAAGTAGGTAGTTTTTGAAAGTCTCTGCATACAGTAGGCTCTTGGTCACCCAATTGTTGGCATGGCCATGGCCTGTGGCTGCACAAGCATCATCAGTTTGATCTTCAAGAGAATGTCCACAGCCCGCTGGCATGTACGAGACTCTCATCACAGAAGTGCCACCAGCTTCCCAGCTTTGCATCATTTTGCATCTCTTGTTTTGCACAGTCGTCTTGGTTGGGCATGGGATGTCCTGCAAAGTGCAAAGAGCTTGCGCTGAGCGGGCCACCGGATGTCCAGCGCCAGGGACTTGTGCGCCACATTCCAGGCAGCGAAGCCCGGCTGGAGCTGCCACGGCGATGCCAAATTGCGGGGAAGCGGGTGTCCTTTTCTGGCAGTTCTGCTGTCTGGGATTGCCCTTTTCTTCGTGGCAAACGCATTCGCATCTAAATTGCGGAGACCACATTGGCAAGAAAGAGCTCCGACTCTGGCGCGATCTGTCGCTGCCTCTCCGGGGGGAAGTCCGGTGCATATCTTTGACAAAACCAAAGGTGCCCTCACTGGTAGCCATCTGATCACTTTAGCTCCGAGCTCCTGAGTTTGGAGAACGGCATCAGTGAGCAAAGCAAATCCCCCAGTCATCTGCGGAAAAGAGGTGCTTTTTCAGAGTGCTTGAGGCAGCTGCAGTGCTACCGTTAAATGAGCCCAAGACGTGTAGCCAAAGCCTCAGCAGTATCTCCAGAAAGTTTCGAGAAAACTTCGAGAGCTGTGCCGGCTCTCGCTAGACTTTCACGCTGCTGGAAGAAAGGGAGGTCGAGCTTTCTGAACTGTTGCGCGCTTACAGCGCGCTTCTGCATTGCGTACCGAGCCAGTGTATGGGGTGAACGGCACAACGCCAACAGCAACGCTCGTCATCTTAGCTTCGAAGAGGATCGACATTGGAAGTGCAACGTGACAAGGCTTTCCCGTCTTAAGTGACTCCTATCCGCCGTATCCCAAAGGTCCACCCTTTAAAAAGGACATGTATAGCAACCCGTTCGAAATCGGAAGACGTCCAGGAGAAGGATGTGAAACAAGAATCTGGGGGGGGGGGGGAAGATTGCCAGATTTGACCATTGCTGTTGTAAAGTACAGCCAGTTCGCGGTTTGACGTCACCGATAGAGTGCAGTTGTTTCTTCTCTCATCGAAAGTGTTTGCTAGACTTGCTCTGCTTTCGTTGTGAAGCTAATGTGTTTGCATGCCTGACTGAGCATCACCCAACTGCTGTTTAACAGTTAGTTCCTCACTTTGACATTCTTTGTGGGGCTTGTGCTTGTCCAAGCTTGTTCACGTGGCCAGGCTAAGATGCTAGTAAGAGTTTATGGATTGAGGACTTGTATGGATTGTTGGGGTCTAAGAAGGTGCAGGCTTAGGATTTCGAAAGCTTTTTTGGGCCGCAGTTCACCTGAGCCGCCTTTCGCCCCCGCTTCGTCCGTCTCGGACCACGAGCCAATCTACGGCTCATTCCACCGGGGCTCCGCATCCCTCTTATCGCCGCGGGTCCCCCGCGAAGGTCTCAGCAGCTCGAGATTCCGACACTCCACCCCTGTGGGTTTTGAGCATCTGCTTTGTCCAGTTCCGGCTCTTTGGCCACCGAGAGGCCTCTTCTGTGGGCACTCCCCCGACAAGCTCGGGGGGGGGGGGCGGGGGAAGAGGATCTGGCGACCTTGTTTCCCGTCCTATTCTTTGCTTTCAGCCTTTCGGGCTTAGGCGCTTGGCTTTGGGCCTGGCAAAACGACCCGTTCTAGGCACAAGGTTTGCCCATGTTTGCCCCCCAAGACTGCGCCAAAAACACCTGGTTGAACACAAGCATCCCTGGCAAGTCTGGCTGTTTTCTTGGGCATGCATTGTCATTGTACCATCTCGCAACTGCTGCATGCATCATGAAGCCGCATGTGCTCTTGCACGTGAAGGAGGATGACGAAGGACCGTTGAACTTCTTCACTCAGGATATGATCGTCAAAGTATAGATCTTTTTGAGTAGCCGTATTGTTGAGCTCTGCGGTAGCATTTGAACCGACGTATACCAGAAGCCGAGTAGTTGTCAGGCACTGAAGGCCATGGCCTCGACAGGCCTCTGCGGCGCAGGGATTCCACCTTCCCAAGCAGCCGAAGGCCGCCGAAGGCCGCCGAAGGCCTTTGCGAGATTGTGGGGCCAGTTTGCACGTTTGTGACCCTAATACAGCACTGCTGGTTCAAAGGAATTGGTGTCAGATTTCGAACAGCCGCCGTCATTGTTGTTTGTGGCACATGTGGCATTTTTTTGGATGTCCTGTGTGCGCAACAAAATGCATGGGTGGCTCAAGCTGTAGTTTAGTGGTCAGATTGTCCCTCCTTTCCGTGCTGCGGTGCTGTAGCATAGCTGCGGAGCTATGGAGGCATGAAGAGCACAGACAGAGCCAATTGTCACTTAGGAGTTGCTTCATCCGATATCTGCGATACTTGTCGTAAACATCATACATGAGCAAGCATGTGAGCTTGATTTGGTGATGGCAGATCGATGTAAGTTGCAGCCAGCCGAGCAGGAGAAAACAGCGCAAACCGTGCAAGAGCTCACTGACATCATGCAGGACTTCGTTGCATTCTTCTGCTCAAGCCATTGTAGCGTTGTCAAGAATGCGCTGCCCAGGAACTTGCGAAGCGTGTTGAAGAACAGGACGCTAGGTGACTTGAGAACGGTAGAGCGCAGACTTCGCCGAATGTCGCTGTGTCGAATGACGAATCTGGGCAGGCTGAAGAGTCAGCAGAGGGAGCAAATGATGGAGACTGCGGCCTTGAAGCGCCGAGTGGAGGCAGCTTGTAACGACGATTTGCTCTTTGCAAGTTAGGGTGATCAAAACAGGGCAGTGACAAATCAAGTACAGTATATGATCCAGCTCACCGGGCCCAAAATACTGAAGGTCTCTTGAACCTGCGAGGGTCAGTGCACTTTCATGCTAAACATGGGATTTCACGGCATCCAAGTACAACCAGCTGATTCAGGACTTGCAGCAAAACAGTTTAAAGGAGGTGAAGACAGTACGTCAGGACCTGCACCGCATCCTTGTTTGCACTTTGCAAGCTAGTGGTCGTACCAGAATCATACCAGAAGCAAGTGCATTGCAGCACTCGGAGTTCGGATCACCCAAGTGCACTTAAGATCACGTGAGAGTGCCGTAGTAGGAGTACGACCTCGCTTTGGACAGCCTCGGCAGTCTCATCGAAGATGTTGCACGAAGAGTGACACGTGCCGTGCAACGCTTTGAGGAGCTCTGACACGTCTTCTCTGATTCCTTGGGGTTCGTTTTGTTCTGGAAGTGTCTGCTTCGCGCTGCTCTGCATCGGTGAGGAGCGAGGAATTGCCGACTTGGAACGCACCCGCAACAGACCAAGAGCCCACCTGATGTTTCAAGAGCCAGACAAATTTTGAGTTGCTCGCCCTGTGAGCCGGTCACAGGCGAGCATGTTGAGAATGCGATGGCGACACAGTCCGCAATGCTCACCCAAAAGATTGCGACTTGTCGATTGAGACGTTTGTGCATGTGTTTGTGTGCGTGTCTCCCTCTCCCCTCTCTCCGTCTCTCCCTCTCCCCCTCTCTCCCTCTCTCCCTCTCTCCCTCTCTCCCTCCCTCTCTCACGCTGCCTCTAGTTCTCACTCTCTCTTGGCCTGTGTCTCCCTCTGCTCCCGTTCTGTTCCCTTCATCTCTCCCTCTCTCTGACGCTCCTTAAAATTGCTGCAGCTGAGGATGCTGCCATGAGCGCCGCAGTCGCGGCAGTGGACCGTTCCAGCCAGGCAAGCGGCAAGGGATTCTCGGAAGCGTTGAACCGTTGTGCTCCTTCTGAGCAAGACAACGAAGCATGCTTCCTAACGTCCACGACGGCCACTCAGAGCTTCGACGCTGAAAAATTTCATTTACGGATACGTCCCATCTCTGCCCAGTCTAATGGAAGCCAGGCTCACCGTATCAAAGCTGAACTTGACCTCCAAAGACCGCACAGCCACAAGCGACACATCGAAACAGCATCTTTCAAGTTGCCGTCCCTTGTTGAACCTCTTGAGTCACCTAAATGCGCTTGCGACAGCTCAGAACTCAGTGGGTCTGGCAGGCCAGCGACCACCCGGATCACGAGTCTCGCGAAGGTGCACACCAGCATTTGTTAACACAAAACGGCACTTGTCATCACCTTGCATGTGCATTGGCATTGGCATGTCTCAGCCATCTTGGCTGCAGGAGACGAGGATCACGGCGGCGGCACTGGAAGTGCATCTGCAAAGAAACCCCATCAGCAGATGGAGACCATGCGTTTCTACCTCATCAGAGCTGTTGCTGTACATGCGTCGCTGGAATCTGAAAGCCTTCTGCCAAACTTCTGCCCGAACGATCAGAGCTCTGTTAAGCTCCTCAAACGTTGCTCTTTCATGGCGAATGACTTTGTGCAAGTCTCTTTTGCTCCTCACTTTGCTCTCACTCAGCTCTCAGAGGTCGTGTGGAAACGATCGCGCAGATGTTGCGGACCGAGGCCGGGCCTCTTGAGGAGAGATAGAAAACTTCGGATGAGAGTTGCAGGTTTCTGCTCTTTGGGAACTGTCTTTTCTGCTTTCCTTGGCTTTCATTTCTTCGCTTCTCTTTGGAGGCGTTGTTTTTGCTTTTCATTTATACCTGAGTCCGCAAAAATCTTGAACAACTAAACACGCTCAGAGTCTACAGCTGGGCTGCAGGCGCTGGCTCAGGCCCAGGCCTTCGAGGCAAAGCTCTCCTCCATGGAAGCTGGGCACTCCGCAGAGGCAAAGAGGCGCGCGCAAGGGCATACGCAAGGGCATACGCAGCGACTGCGAAACCCGAGAGTCGCACGGCGTCACACTCCGGGTAAACACGAGTTGCGAGATTTCCGTGAGACGTTGTGTGGAAAAAAAGGTGGCAGGGGATGCTGTCTTCCTCCTTCACGCAGCTACAGGAGCCTGAAGATGCTTGTTTTGTGAATTACATGAGGCATGGGTTGGCAGTCCAAGGACCGACTTGCCCCGAACCTGTGAGGCTTTGCAGCGATCAATCTCACAGCTCGAGTGTGGGCTCACGCCATCGGTGGCGGGTCCTGGCCCAAAGGCGGGCTGGATTCGAAGAAACTTTGGCCCCAGCAGGGCCTGCCAGCTTCTTCGCAATTGGAGGTTGGCACAGGCGCCTCACCGACACCATCACCACTTCAGCAGCCTGCAAAGCGACTGGGAAGACCAACAGCTGTCTTCTCTCTTTGCCAGTGTTCGACATGTGCCACGCCAGCCTTATCGGCATCAGTTCGTGTCATGCCGTTCTTCTTGGGGACTTTTCTGGGGTGTATGCTGGGGGGGGGTTTGTCCACAGCACCAGGGTCACCAGAGACAAGCTGGATGTTGCAACCAAGGGCGACAGGAGCAGCCACAAAGCAAGTCCAAAGCACAACAAAAGCTGCCTGTATCTGCAATTGCCACGCACAAGCGCTGCAGTCCACATCGGCCGTCATCACAGCACGACGGTCACTGGGATAGGCCCCAACGTCGGACTTCTGAAAATGCTTGAAGCTGCCGGTTGCTGTCGCAGCTTGGAAACACTGCTGGATTTCTTTCCATAGCCGAACGTCCATTACTCCGATGTCGGAGATGTAGGAGACCCAGGCAGGCGCGCCATTCTAGAAACACCCGAAAAAGTCCTGAATGCGAATGTTTTCTCAGTTGAGGTTAGCTTCGTTCGTACGCGCGCAGTTTGCTCCAGAATCTTTGTGCAGTCTGTCGTAGAAACAGGCAAAAGCACTGTCAATTCCAGTGTTGTGGGCATGTTCACATCTAGTGCTTTGGGCATGGTCGGCATGTGGCCGGACTTTGTTATCTCCCCCCCCCCCGCCCCCCAACCAACCAACCAAACCCCGCAACAACCCCCCCCCCCTCCCAACCAAACCGTGCGACACCTCCCCCCAACAAGCCGAAGCCCGAAGCACCCGAAAAAACCTTGCGGTCACGGCTATTTCCGTTAGCAGAAACCAGCATGAAGGCATTTTTGCCGCTGCTCAAATCCAAGGATCGACAGGGAGCTCAGCAATGCGGAGAAACTGCGCGAGGAAAGGCTTTTGCCACTCTGCCAGTCTCTGCTTGTGTGACATGCGGTGACCCTTTCCTCAACCTATCCTCAACAGTCTTCTCTTCTGGAGGATCTTTCCAAAAAGCTGCGTGGCATCGCCTCCTCGGTCAATGGGGCGCTTGTGACACTGGAATCCCAGGCAGAAACAACAGCCTCACGAGGCTGGACGCCACTCCATCATGTTTTGCTTCTTCACTTCTGCTCTAAGAAGGTCAGTCCCCGAAGCGATCCAAGAGTCCGGTGGTGCTTCCGCTCAATCCGGCGGGTACCATGGAGAAGCAGATGAGGCCCAAGTGGATGGGAGATCATGGGATGGGAGATTCCCTCAAGAAAGAGAGGCCTCGAGGAGAGTGTGATCACATTTTAGCACATTTTAGCACATTGCAGGCAAAGGGCGGAGATGGACCAGGCAGATGGATTCGGGTAAGAACTGTGCTCGCCTGTGCTCAGTTTTGTGCTCCCAGGCACGCTCGCCTCCAAAGGGCATTCCAACAATGACTGGGCCTCTGGAGTCGCGCGAGGCGCACTTTTCCGCTTTTTCGCTTTTTCGCTCCGAAAGCTTAGCAAAGCTAGGAAGCCCGGCGTGCCAGGAATCGTCAAAGCGTCCTGCGATCCAAAGCGGAGGCTGTCCACTCTGTCCCCTGAAGCTGTGCCAAACCGTGCCAAACTGTGGAATCTGTGGCGGATGAGAGTCGTGTTGTTCTTTGCCATGCCTTGCAGGGGCGAGCATGCAGATTCCATTCGCGCATGCACCTGAGATGGCCGGTTCTCTTCTGCCCGTTGAGATCCTGTTTGCTGCGATTGCGAGGGGCACGTCGCCAGCTGCCGAATGCTTGGCCTCTGATGTCACAAATTTCTATCTAGTCTACTGGCTGCCAACCTTTACATCAATCTCATGCTCAGATTACCTCAGCGCGAGATGACAAGAAAGGCAACCCAGGTCATGCACATCACATACACGTCACGCTGTGACCACACAGTGGCCGCACTGAACCACACATGGCAATACCTGCAGGTGGCCTTCTCGCAGCCTCGCCGCAACCAACCGCATCACGATGCTTAGGGGCCTCACGAAGGCTGGGAACATCTGGGAACCATTGCATAAGCCTTGGCCTTCACTACTGTCTGACGTCCAGAGTCTGTTTTTATGGAGCAAACATCCTGAAGCCTGAGCCAGATGCCGTGTGTGTGTGTGTCACGCACCGATCAATAAAGGAGATAGTGTGTCTTGCAAGTAAGTTGCTTTTCTCACTCAATCATGGCCATATGATATGCCAGGGCCTCTCTGGGAGAACCTGACCACCGTAGTTCTCAGCCGGATCTTTCGCGGAATCGCCCTGGACCTCAGATTGACATTTGGGAAGAATCCCAGGTGTTGTATCTGTTTTTTTTGTTGCCCCTGCTCAGGTTCTGCCGTACCGCTACAGTCTCAGCTTTAGTGCCTAAATTTCTGTTCGAAGTCTTGTATCCCTCGACCCGTCTTCCACCAAGGACGCCGATGGCAGCACATTCACAGCATGTGTGGCAAGGGCACGGGCAAACACACCCTCAAGCGCACTCGCCAGCGCACGCACCGGCGCAAATGCACGCGCCGGCGCAAATGCATGCGCCGGCGCAGGTGCATGCGCAGGCGCACATGCACGCTCAGCTCAATCAGCAAGTGCCTCCTCAAGCGCGTCAGCAGCAACAGGCAAGGTGCTCGGGTTCTTACTCACGGCAAATGCATTGGTATTCCTGCGCCCCTGCAAGGTGCGCAGCATGCCCGGGATGCGCTCTGGGTATGCTTCCCCATCCATTCAGGCAACACGTAGCCTGCGTGACATCGTCTGACAGTCGAAGTATTTGCCTGCTTGAAGGGACGAACCCCACTGCCGGGTCACCGCATTCAGATCTGAGCTTTTCAGGGGGCCATATGACCGCCCCCTCCGCCTTCTTAAAGATGGGTAATGCCTGAGCGGGCCATACAATTAGCGTGTCATTTCATCAAACATACATAACATATTATATATAAGTACAATAATAATGCGTCTATATATATGTATGCATGTATAGTTTTGACTTTAAGACATCTTTTCTCGCGTTGAGCTAAGAGAGGTGTTCCATGCGGTGTCTACACTGTCGTAATGTTGTGCCCGCAGCACTTTCTTCTTTGTCCAAAAACGTCGCGCTGGACGTTTCGATTTCTTAGCTCAGCCCTTACTTATGCTGAGATGCATGAATGGCCTGAGTCGACCTGTCCCTAAAGTGCCCTTGTCCGAGAAGCTAAAGGGAAGGTCCTTATGCCTGTAGAATCAAAGCTGAAGCGCGGCAAGAAGGCACGTGGGGAGCTGAGCGCACAGAGCTCGAAGAGGCGATCTTGGCTAAAGCTGAGCTTTTTTATGGACACAGTGTACATTGTGTACATCTCCTGTACATCTCCTGATACATCTCCTGACCTCTGCACGTCTCGCTGCATAAAAAGAAGACCTTGCCAAGAGCCGTATTGATGTTCCACGTCGATTCCCCTGGCATCGGCTTGTTGCAGGTGCCCTCGAGTTGCACGCACGACTTAGACCGAGATCGGCCGCGGTCAGGCAGGGTGCTTCTGTCCTTGTTTCGCATGCTCATTGGTGCATTGTGCCAAAGTTTTGAAACAGGGCAGCTGGCTCAAAATCAGGTGAAGGCTTTCGTTAGATTTGTCCGGCGGCATGCCTCACCAAACTCTTAGGTATGCCATGATCGGCGGTGGCCAGGGCTCCTGGATCGGTGAGGCACACCGCAAGGCGCTGGCGCTCTGGAAACAGCACTCTGACCGTCTCCATAATGCTGGAGTAGTTTTGCTTTTCTCGTGTTGTGTGAGTGTGAGTGTAAGTGAGTGAGTGATTGAGTGAGTGATGGTGGTGGAAAGTCGCTGTACATGCGATAGCGAGTTGAATAGCACTTCCTTCGTCCATCTCCTGCCTCAGTTTTTTCCACATTCTCTTAACTTCCACCGCCGTTCCCCCCAAACCCGAAGAAGAAGAGAGTGACAAAAGCAGGTTGGTCGCCTAGCCCTTAGGCAGGAATTGGTCAGAGTCGAAGGTGACTGGTTTTCGGAAGGGAGGTTTCTGTTCGGGGTAGGACTGACTGCTCAAACGGGGGGCTCTTGCAGTGTCGGGGGGAGGACCGGCGTCGCGTCTTCCGGAGAACAGACAGGAAGGAGGGAGAGAGAGAGAGAGAGAGAGAGAGAGAAAGGGAGAAAGCCACAGAGGCAAAGAAAGAATGGAGGCCCTCCGAAACCCTGCAGGCGTTGGCTCTGGACAATACTGCGAGGCTCGTGGCTGGCTGCTTCTCCTCCAACCATGACCGGTCGCAAGCTTTTGGCCAAGAGTTGGGATTGCCAGATCTGCGGGTCTATGGCTCGGCCATGGAGCTTGCGGAAGCCGAGGCGGCCCTTGAAGACAAACCGCATTTCGTGGTCATCTGCACGCCGAACCGGCACCACTTGGAGCAGATCAAAATGCTGGCCGCCAAAGGTTTCCCGATCGTTTGCGACAAGCCACTATGCGACACCCTCGCTGAGGGGAAGGAGGCTTTAAAGGCTTTAGCGTCCCCAGGTAGTGGCTTGCTCGCGTTAACACACTGCTACGCGGGATATGCTATGATCAAGGAGGCCCGATCCTTGATCAGGAAAGGCCGTTTGGGTACGCTTCGCAAGGTGGTGGTGGAGTATCCGCAGGGATGGTTGATGCCTGAGGATGCCGAAGAAGGCAAGCCGGCAATGAGTGCCTCCACAGGTGTCTCTAGCATGGTCGATGTCGGTACGCACGCGGAGCACCTAGCCAGGTATGTCACTGGCCTGCAGACGAAGGAGGTCTTTGCTGACGTTTCTAGTTTTGTGCCCGGTGGTGCTCGCACTCCGGACGACTTCAATGTGCTAGTACGCTACGAAGGTGGCCAACGCGGCGTGCTGATAGCTTCGCAATCCTCATCCGGGGAGCAGAACTGCTTGCGGCTGCGGGTCTACGGCTCGGAGGGATCCCTCGACTGGATGCAAGAGGATCCCAACCTACTCATATTGCGCCTCCGTGATCAGCCAGTGCAGACTCTGCATCGGGGGCAGCCATACCTCAGCGCAGAGGCTCAATCCTGCTCTCGTCTCCCACCGGGACACCCGGAAGGCTACCTCGAAGCCTTTGCCAACATCTATCGCAGCTTCGCTGAAGCTGTGCAGGCGTACAACCGTGGTGAGGTTGCAAATGTGGATTTTCCCAACGCAGCTGATGGAATTGCCAGTTTAGCCTTTGTAGAAGCAGTCTCCAAAAGTTCTGAGACGGGTACCTGGGTTTCTGCACAGCCATAGCTTCCAGGTGCTGCACGTTTCACTCTCAAGGTATTGTGTTGGAGAGCATCACATCCTTGGGAGCGCAGGGTTACGGGCCTACTGGGGCCTACATGGCCGCTTGGGTTGCTGGGCCCCAGGAAGCCGCTTGGAGAGAAAATAGCGAATCGCGCTCATGAATGATGTGTATCATGCAAAGAAGCAGAGAGCCACAGTGATTGTGAGGCAAAGGCTGCTGAAGCGACGACCGGGGTTCCTGCAGGCAAAAAACGACTTTTTCCAATTCTGAGTGAGGAAGCAGGGGCAGTTCTTGGCATGCTGTTCATGTTGTTGATCTTGTTTGTGGAGCCGCTGCCTCTACTAGGGCTAGCTCTTCAAGATTACACTCAGCTTTGCAGCATGGAGCACCCTTTCGAAGCTTTGCAGATCATGGGAACAGCAAGCATCACAAGACAACCTGGATCTTTCAACCAAGTGCGATGAGCACATCTGCGTGCGCCGTTTGCCAAGTTCAGGGTCATGATCCTCCAGTCAGCTGGAGACTCGGAGCCTGAAAGGTTGTAGCGCTGCCGGCGGCGATGTTTTTCTGCATGCTGCGAAAGGTTCCGACGGACGACTATGATGAGGAAGAGAACGGCCTGGTATCTAACAGCCCCCGTCCGCCCGCCACAAGGACATCTCAACAACACCTCCATCATGACTCGGGATCCATTTCATAGTGGCAGTGTGTCTTTGGCAATGTGGAAAGCGGCCATTTTGACACGCTGGTAGGAAACTCCCGCTCAAAGCACGGCGTCGCCTGGCAGCATTCTGGGTGACATGCTTTTTGCGCGTGAACTTTCTCTCACGCCACTTATCAAAGCAACAAGTGTCTCCCGTCAGGGGTAACTGCCGCGGACCACCGAATATCGGAGGAGGATGAGGCAGGAAGAGAAGTCCGATGGTCTGTGTCTGTTTTGAGAGGTTCAGGTCGTGGGCTTTTTCGGGAAGCCGTGATTACTTGAACATGCGACGCAGTTGACGTTGTGCACAGTTGACTTTAGGTCCGAGGCTTTGAGTTGTTGCGAGCTTGATGTCGGCAGAGATGATGGAAGATGCTGCCAACCTCGGTGAGCTGACGCAAAGGCAAATGTCTGCCCTGCATGAGGACAGGCTGCCCACGGCCCATCAATGAGCCCGGAAGAGGTTCATACTTCGATGAGGCACCTCCAGGGGACACAGAATCCTGCGCCAACAGAGAAACCAAAATCGCCCACCGAGAAGCCAAATGATGTGGATGGCAGGGACATCCCTGACACGGAGGCTGGTGCAAGCAATCAGGCAAGGAAACAGACTCCAGATCTTTCATGGTGCATGAGACGCAGACAGTCCGGAAGCGAATGAGTGCGGCCAAGCCACAAGCCGCTCGAGCTCACAGGCATAGGCCTATTTAGGTGTGGAGGAGTTAGCAGGTGATGGCTTTTGTGGTGCAGCAGCTCTTAACCACTTTCCAGAGACAGCTCTCTCATGGCAATGTCCTGTCTGAGAATCTGGAGCAGGATCGAGAGCACCGCTTCCAGGCAAAAGTTCAAGTTGCAAAAGCCAGGGCCAATGCGAAAGGGTTCAGGAAGGGTTGACGCACCCGCCTCAAACAACTTATGAAAGTTCGGAAAAGCTCAAGTATGCGCTGGAGTTTTGAAAATTTGCAACGCCCCTTCACAGAAGCTTGTTGAGAACAGTCCTGAAAGATTGGCATGAGCTGCTGGCAGTTGAGATGGAAAAACATGGGATTCAGAGAACAAGTCCACACTCTTGAGCTGACAATTTTTGAGTTGCAGTTCGCTGTTGTAACAGTGTGATCTTTTCGCGCTGCCAGGTGAGTTGGAAGCTGGTGGCCCTTGGCATCTGCTGCTTTCTCGGCGTAGTCGCCGTGGGTGCGTCGCTGGCCGTCTTGTCCAGGGTTGGGCAAGATGCCGAGGGAACTTTGCAGGGTACCCTCGGCAATGGAGCGAAAGGCGTAAAGCCAGTGCTGGCCATCTTTGGCTTCAGGATTCTTGGGGAGGAAAGTGCGGAACAGGCGCTGCCCACCAACAATGCGGTAGCTTGGGTGGCCGCTAGCCTTCTCAAGGACCATGGCCATTTGTTGCTGCAGCCTTACGACGAAGGGCAAGCAGCTTTTGCAGTGCCACAGGGATCTGAGGGCCCAAACGGTCCCCGCATCCCGGATGGCCAGCTGGTGCAGAGTTGGCGTCCTGCCCTGCCCGGCAGCCGGCTTCTCCGTGCGAAGCGCGCCCGACCAAGCGTCCTCCGCCACTTGGTTGCACATGGCCCGAGGATGCACAGCGCAACGGCACACCACGGCATACCACAGCACATCAGCTCTTATCGCTTGGAGATCGGTTATGCCATCTGCAGCTTCAACTTCAGACTTGTGTGGCACAGGAGGCGTTGTGGTGGGGCCCATCTCGGAGATTCTCCAGGTCTGACCGGCTGTGATCGTTGAGTTTCTGTGTCGGCTGTTGTCGATGCTACATCTAGCAAACATTTCCAGACATTGCGCTGACCATGCTGTGTATGCTGCATGTTCGTCGTGCCCGAGTGTCAATGGGAAGCATGAGAAGTGTCAGGCTTCCGCAGCTGTTACAGCCCGTTTGCCCGAAGCAGCCTTTTCCACGCTTCTGCCCAGATCAGAGACACCTCCGTGCATATTGGGCTAGACACTTGATGTCCCCATAGCACTTTAGCCTTGGACGATGTGGACGTTGCATGACCACGAGCATCAGCAGCTGGCAGTCCTGCCCATCTACGCATTCCTTGCAGATGGCTGCGCAAAGCATTGGGGCAGCCATTGAAGAAACGGTGTCTCTTTGCGGCAAAGATAGCATATCCGGGTAAGCAATCATGCCTTGCTTGCCTGTGTTGCTTCTGCAATGTGCTGGAGAGTTCGTTCCAAATGTGTCAGGAAGGACATCGACGGTAGAGCAAAATGGGTTCCGTTGGCCCAGAGCAATCCTGGGGAGTACTGGCGAAGGGTGAGGACTGACAACGGGGCATATAGGGGCATGTTTGCCAAGATCGCAATGGGGGCAGATGTTTGGGTTAGGCATCTTTACCCGAAACCCTGTCACCGTCGGAATCTAGGCCGGCAGTTTCGGGCAGGGCACCTTTTCGCACATGGCCGAAAATACCGACAGGGGGATCCAGCTCCACTGTTGGGAATCGTGGGGGGTGTGTTTGGAAGTCTCCTGTGGCGCTTGCCCTAGTTTGTAGATCAGCTGAGTGGGGGAGGATGACATGCTTCCAATTCACTCACGGCACCTGACCTTTAAAGAGATGTCCACTCCAACCTAGGGCTTCGACAAGACAAAAAACAACCATCAGAGCATGACAGCTCACTTAGCTGGCGCACACACGCCATCACCCGAGCAGTTTCTGGCCTGCTGTGTGCACGCGCCTTTGGGTGCGTTTTGGCAATCTCAAGACTGCAGCTTGGAAAGCTGCACACCTGCACGGGCGTCTGCGGAGCTGCAGAGAGGTGACATACATCTCTACGAAGACTGCACGTATGGCGCGAACGGGCTTTGTTTTGTCTACAGACCTCTACAGACTTAGAGCGGAAAGATGCGATTCGTGCTTACCATCGTTGAACACATTTGGGCGTACTTGTGGTGGGGATACCAGTGTCCACTGTGGCAGCATCCGTCTTCCAGCCTGGAGTACATTGCAGTATTTGTTGGGGTTAGGCCGGTTAGACGATTGATATCACCTGATTAGCAGGACTCTTTACCGAAGCTCCCTGGCTGCTTGGCAGAACTTGCAACATCGCCGACGAATGTTGTGACTGTTGCGCCTTTCAAGGCGGTGATTCTGGGGAACATCTTGGAGTGGTACGACTGGACGGTGTTTGGCTATATGCAAGACATTCTCAAGGAAGTCTTTGCCGAGGGCAGCGACAAGCAGGCACCGACGAGAACCGTTCAATACTTTTTTTCTCGCAGGCGCCTTTTTGCCCCCGAATTTGGGGATTTGTCGTTCCCATCGTTCCCACTCTCTCAAGAGGCCTGGCTCCTCTTCGCCGTGCCCTTCTTTGCACGGCCCTTCGGCAGCCTCGTCTTCGGCTGGACCTGGCCTCAGGGGCCCACAAGCACCACAAGGGCTTAAACGAGTTCTGTGCCGATGTAAGCGCTGATGTGTTTTCATCTGTAGATCGCTGTATGTGGAATCTCACTGCCCTCCGCGGTGTGGCAGGATCGGAGACAAATTTGGCCGAGCCTTGTCGCTGTCCCCTGGCGTTTTTCTTGTAGCTTCGGGCATTTTGGGCATGCCAAATGCTTCTGTGTCCGAGGCAGTTGGCGATCTGGGGCATGGCGGTAGCAACGGCACTGCAAGGGTGTCTAGTGCCCTCGCTTCCAGGCCTCGACAGGGGGGATTCTTCCAGGGCTTGCCTGCTTGCGTGCTTGCGTGCTTGCGGGCTTCCGTCAAGCACACAGGCTGCCGATCTTGGAGTAAACTTGTGCAAGAAGGTTTCCCTGTATGGAGTCCACTGCGAAAGACGAGCATTTTGGACTAGACACGTCCGTCCCCCCCTGTAGGGGTCTACAAAGTTGTAGCCCTATCGACCCTATCGGAGTAGGCCCTCAAGCTGGCACCAATCCTTGATGCCCTTATTCTGCGCTTGCGTATGCGTCTGACGTGGGTTAAGGCTTTGAGGTTTTGACATCACACTGCACGGCATTGTGTACCCTCCAGCCTGTGGCCCGGGCGTAAGACCAAAGGGGAAGCTTTCATCGCTTGAGCGCTCTGCCGCGCCCCTGCAGAATCAACAGCTGCCTTTGTTTTGCAGGAGTCAATTGGATGCTAGCTGCATTGCGGCTCATCACGGGACTGTCTGCTGGTGCCTGGGCATTCAATAGCAGACTTGAGGTCAAGGTTGTCTTGGTACCATTCCTCGTGATGGTAGATGCTGCAAGGTGGGGAATCTGCCGGAGTAAACACCTACATGTCGGAGTTTGGTGAAGAGGTGTGACGGAACAGCTGCTTGAAGGACACCATCAGAGTCTTGCCAGAGCGCTTGCTCCTGCCCCTGCCAGGGGAGGGAACACACGCTGGCTGCGGCAATCGGCATCAACAATGTCACTAGCCACAATGTGGAAGTGCGAGATGTGTTGGCTGTATGCTCTGCCACGCCATGATGTCACACTTGCTTGCAGTTAACGCGTTGAATGTTCTGATCCTGGAGGTCAGTGGCTCTTTGGCTTTCTTTCTGGCCAACACTGTGTCTCTGGCCGTACACCAGCTGCCCCACGAAACTCAGCTTGCAGCGTGGCAGCGATCACAAGGGATGAGGAGGTGACGTGTGCCGTTTGAATGCCCTTTCACAGATGACTCTGTGCGTCTCCACGCTGTCTTCGAGCTGACTGATGTTATCTGTGTCATATGCTAGTCAAGAGATGCTGAGCATTGCCGAACCCAGGCCTGGGGCTGGCGCATTCCGTTTCTTCTGGCGGCTCCCCTGGGCGTCGTCTCTGCTGCATGGCGGAATCCGAAAACAGTGAAGCCCCTGCTTGGTTTCCCCGTTGTCAACATACTCGGGGCTCCCTCGTATTGCTTGTTGCTGCAAGACGTGCCATCAGCACAAGCAGCAGAGCTCTTCCTTTCTGATGCGTGCACATCGCTGCATATCGCCTGCTTCCGGGCTATCTCGTTTCCCTCTCCACGCCGTCTCCGGTCCACGAGGGCTTGTGATTGTACCATCTCGTTTCCCTGCACGAAAGGAAGGCTTTGCGAATGCAAGTCCGTACTGGACAACTGGCTATAAGGTGCTTCTGCGACGTAGCATGAAGGAGACCCATGAGTTCCAGAAGATCCTTGGAAGAGCACTCAAGGGAGCTGCTTTCATTGCACTTTCCTTTGAACTTCGGTATGCAAGCCCGAAGCTCCAAGTAGCTGTTCTTCAGAGACAGCATTCCTAGCTTGCTCTCCAGCGCTCGAGGAAGCACGATGAAGAGAAGGCTTGCCAAACTCATTTCCAGGACGCCCACTGTTGAGGCTTGCGAGCTCAGGTGTATTGAAGGTGATCGGCGACAGTTGTTAGAGCCAAGCTGCTTTGAAGTTGGGTTGCGTGAAAGAGAGAGAGAGAGAGAGCGGAAGAACAGAGAGAGAGAGAGAGAGAGATAGAGAGACAGAGAGAGAGCGAGCGAGCGAGCGAGAGAGGGCGAGCATGAGAGAGAGAGAGAGAGAGCGAGCGAGCGAGAGAGAGAGAGAGAGAGAAAGAAAGATCCAGCAAGCAAGAAAGAAAGAACGAAATAAAGAGATAAAGAAAGAAAGAAGGAAAAACCGAAAGAAATAGAGAAATAAAGAACGAAAGAGAGAAAAGAAATAAAGAGGAGAAAGAAAGACAGAAGAGAAAGAAAGACAGAAAGAAAGAAAGACAGAAAGAAATAAAGGCAGCAAGAAAGAACTACAGAAAGATAAAGAAGAGAAAGAAAGAAAGAACGAAAGAAATAAAAATTGAAGAAAGACAGGAAGGAAGGAAGGAAGGAAAGGAAGGAAGGAAGGAAATAAATGACAAATAGTCGAGAACTAAAGAAGACGTCATGAAAAATAGAAACAAGAAAGCAAAGAAGTAAAACATCAAGAAATAAAGCAGTAAACCAAGACATGCAGAAATAGAGTCAATGGAGAGATAAAGAGATAAAGAAATACAGTACGCAAGTAATGAATAAAGAAAGGGACAAAGAAAGAAAGTCCGAAATGTATACATCCAGAACTAAACGAAGGAACATCGCAAAATGAAACAAAGAGCCAGAAGAAGAACAATAACAATATGAAGTTCCTGACTCAGTTACTACAAGCAGCTCGATTTGAAAATGCCGCTTCTTCTTGCTTTTGCTCTTCTGTTTTTTGGTGTTTCTTCTTCTACTTCTTCTTGACAGTGGGTTTGTGCGTCCGGGGTTGCCCTCTTTACCCTTGCGCACTCGCATGATGGTAACGACGTGTGAAACGAAAACCCTCAGCCCTCCCCACTCCACAGGACCCTTAACCTCCCCATCCCAGACTTGTTCCAAACGCCTCGAACTTGCCAATCATCCAGCGCATCCAGCCCTCATAGGCCTCTATTTTTTCCCTCTTATAGACGCTAGAGTGCCAGGATTCCGACGAGAGCCACGGGCAAAGCTACAGCGGAAGCTACGAGACCTCGGGCTCCGAGGCGTGCCCCGCAAGCTGACTTGCGGTGTGTGATGTGTGAGTAAAGAGACGTTTTTTTATCCAATCTCTTGCGTCGGCTCGTCTTTGCCTTATGAACACTTCTTTTGAGGGCTTTTAGCAGCTTGCAAGAGCCTGATGTGCTCTGCAAGCAATCCCTGGGCCCTGGGAAGGGCTTATTGAGCCCACCCGGCAACCAGGCCTCAGAACTTCTTTGTGGTATCTGGGTAGAAGATCCGGATTTCATTGACGAAGCTGCTGGGGTGTGCCGGTAAACCCTTGTAGAGAAAAACTCCTACTATCCAAACCGAGGACGTCCACCAGCACTAACGCAGAAACTCGTACTCTTTGGCGATCAACCCTTCTCCCTGTCCCTGCCTCCTGTCCGGTATCGTGCCCCGACATGTCAATTTATGACTCTCGTTCTCGCCTTCCTGTCTGCTCACTTGTGCAACATCCAGTGCCCGTGAGGATAGCCAAGTGCAGTGGAAGACATTGAGGTGCATCGGGACTTAGGACTTTTCCTAGGTTTGGGCATTTGTTCCGCCCTCCCTCCTGTCCCCATCCATCCTCTGGATTGGAGGTTATTTTCATTCCGGGCATTTGCTGGACGTGCTTTGCTCGTCGCGGTGGTCCTGTCGGCTGCAGCTTTGCTTGCACTGCAGGTAGGCCAGCTAGGCCAGCAAGGCTTGACGAAGATGCTGGGCCAGAAGTGCCGAGGTCAACAGCTGCAATTACCTGCCGATTTACTTGGTCTCCTGGTTGGAAGAGGCAGCGCACTCCAGTGGCCCATACATCCCCTAGATGCCCATCATTCTCTGATCAGACGGCTTCCCCTTTCTTCCGCTTTCCCGGTTTGCAAGGCTGGGCTTCGACCCACATTGGCGCTTAGCATCGCCGCTCTGGCAAAGGCAATGGCCACGGGTAGCAGTCTCTCACGAGTCTTCACACCGAAAAGTGCCCAAACGGCTTCAATTGTGTTCAGGTAACCCAGGTCTTGACAACCTTCCCAGTGTCCTTGGCTGCGGACCGCTTTGGGGCCGCGTCGGCCACCAGCCTTGAATTGAAGAGCCTGCAGAAAGTGTTACGTAGGTGTGGTCCAAGTCCTTGGAGCCCGTGTCTTGCCCGAAGAACGACAATTTTGGTTGCTTTTGGAAGAAGGGGCTTGCTGTAAGTGTGGGAGATGTGCAGGATTCGGGAAGGATCCGGCACAACTTTGCAAACAGAACAAGCACGGTGGTCGAGGGCGGTTGTTCTGCCGTCGAGGAGCATCGGACAACCGGACAAGACTATTGTAGATCCCATCTTGTATTCATAACGCATGCCTTCTGGGATCACCCTATTGTCCAGCTCCTGTCGGTCTGTATCTGTGGGGGTGCTTGTCCTCGAAAATCGGTAGGGGCCCACCAAGCATGTTGCGCAACGTTCAATCAAAGCAGGGTCTTGTCAGCCGCTCAGGTGATGCTTTGTGGTGGTGCAGCGACGGGCATTTGTGCGGTACCCTTCTTGCTGCTTCTTGCCATTGCTGGGAACGTAGGATCGACAGGATTGAAGGATTGTAGGTCACCTGCTGCAACAGTTCGCAGATGCCAAGCCCGCGAGGCTTGTGGGCCAGACCGCTCAGCAGTCACAAGCTGCGGCCTTCGTCGTGCTGGGCCTCATCCTGCCAGCCCCTTGCCCCAACAAAAACACAAGAATGCACCATTGAGTCTGTTTTCTGTCTGGGGTGTGGGATGGTGTGGGATGTGCGAGTTCACATCTGATGGGGATGTACTGTGGTTCCGGCTTGCGGCAAATTGGAAGCCCTTGGTCATGTCCTTTTCTTCGGACTGTCATCTTAAAGTCGAAGCTGTGACCTGTTAGGTGTTGAAGTGTTGTGCTCGCAGTTCTTCTGCGATAAGCACAGCGTCCGCTCTTGCAAGCAGTGGTTGAACGGTTAAACCCTGTTTCGGTCCCGAAGAGGCATCATGATTTCCAGGCGCGTTCAACAGTGAGATAGCCTGAAGGCAAAGTCATGCAACTCGCTGCAGCGACCTGCCACGTTTGAGGCTGTGCCACACAGTTGGTGTCCAACCCCATCTAGCAACAAACATGCAGCAATCATCCTACGTACATAAGGACCCGCACCCAGAAGAATCAAGAGCACCCCAGCAGCCTCGCTTCCTCGGCCCTTCCGCCCTTGAGCATCATTCAGCATCCTTCAGCATCCTTCAGCATCCATCAGCAGCATTCAGCCCTTTGGCCTCTGCGATGATTGGAGTGGTGTCAGTCGTGTCTATACTTGGACCTCTGACGGTCGCCGCCGCGCCATTAGCAGCCTACACGGTTGAGGCCCTCGTGCTGCAGGGTGTTCAAAAGGTTTCAATTCCGGCATGTAGGATGTGAGGTTGTAAAGTATTAGCATGATTCTTGAAGGTTTTGGTACAGGGGCCTTTAGTAGGGTCCCTGAAGTCAGGACTCTCTTCTGTGAGGTCCCGACTCATTGCGCACCCAACACCCAGAGGAGTACTCTTCCTGAAGACCAGCGGGTAAGCCCTGCGTGAACATGCAGTGTTTGACGACCAGCCATTGCGCCTCTGCCACGTTGGCGAGCCCATGGCGATCCCCCCCTGCTTGGCTGTGTCTCCGTCTCAGGCGCGCTTTCCTCATCGTACCGATTGTTTCACAGAAGGCCTCGTGCTGAATGGCAGCGAGGCGTGGAAGGGTGTGCAGGGTGTGCAAGGTGTGCAAGGTGTGCATTGCAAAGAGTTGACTTGAAGGTCAGTGTCCCTGGAGAGCACTTCTCCCACCCACAATGGGGCACTCCGCCTGCTCCAGGTCTTGGAGTCATGCGGCCTCACCGGCAAGTCCGTCTTGAGGCGGCTTGCGTTGATTCGTCTCTTGAGCGGTCTGCGTTTTCTCAGTCAGATCACTTCTCTTGGCCTTTGTTTTGTGCGTCCCTTGCTTGGTGCCCCTTAGAGGCGCTATGACCTGTCGAGTGGCCAGACCAAGAAGGAGGCGCCAGAGCATGAGAGAAGACATGTCACGACGTGTCGGTAGCCATCCAAGCCCAAGGCCTCAGCCCTTCAACTACCCTTGCAATCCCTTGCAAAGCAGGTGCATCTGGATGCAAAGTATTTTGGCGAGGGCACAGTTGAGCTGGGCAGCTCGTTGTTGCCTGCCTCTCTTGATTTGGAAGATTGCGCCGGCGGAGGAAGCTTCCTGTGTAACGTTGAAATGCAGGGACGTTGTAATACAGGTTCGAAGATCAGAGTTGTCACCCTTTCCCACTGTACAGCCTGAGCTTGACGAGCTGCCGATGCTTTCTCTCAGTAGTTAGACGACCTTGAAGTTTGAACCTTCGAGTTGGGCTCAGAACTCAGGTTCGTGTTGACTTACAAGCACAAAGAGATGCTTGAGTATGATCGCGAGACACTCAAAGTCAAGAGGGTCCACCCCTTTCCCTACGGGGAGGGCTGGGGCCTCACCACAGATGGCTGCATCTTGCTCGCACGTGGGAACTCTGCTTTTCGGGTGAAGTGAAAAAGGTCCCAGAAGCTTGCCTGAAGGCAAGATGATGCATCCAAGAAAGCAACCTCAAGATAAAAGGCAGCACTTAGAAGCTCCTCTTCTTTCCCCCAGTTTCGGTCAAGGGCCGTATAAGGCAGCCTCTGCAGTGAATTGCAAGTCTTTTGGGCTTGTTTTGAGTTTTGTTGCTTGGATTGTGCCCGCATGGATCCATGTTTGCTTCGACCTGAGGAGTCATGGAGACATGTCTTTTGTAGGATGGAAAAGGGCTTACAGCAGCCTGAAAGAAGAAGATTTGCTGCGGTCGCTTTGTTGCCCTCTTTGCCTCAGGTGATTTGCTTGCAACCACCGGCTCCCCATACCTGTATCGATTACGCAGGGCTGCGGATGGGGAATTTACACTGGTGAACAAGGTCCTAGTGAAGCGCGACGGCAGAAGCCTGCGCATGCTCAACGAGATTGAGTATGTCACGCCGAAGCTCTGGGTGAATGAGTGGATCACAAACCGGATTTGGAGGGTAGATCCCATCTCGGGTGTATGTGAGACGTATATCGACATCGGACAGCTTCACAGCTGGCGAGGGCAGGCGACACCCAACGGCATCGCATATTCTCCAGCCTTTGGGAAGGAGATCCTTCTGGTCACTGGCAAGCTATGGCCACAGATCTTTTCTTTGCGTATGACTGCTGCGAACCTCTGTGGTGACCAGCCGCTGGATTTGCATTGCGCACAGGCACCGCCATCAGCGTGCTATGAACCGGCGCCAACGGCCATGGCATCCACGGCGGCCGCGGTGGTTTCCACAACGGCGAAGATCGCTGAGACTCCAGCCTTTACCACGCCGGCGCTTTCCACGAGGATGACCCCGACCGTGCAGCCGGAAAAGACCTCGACTTCCAAGACTGGCTTCTTCAGCTTCTTCAGTGCGACTCCAGCACCCATGACCGCGATGCCCAAGCTCCCCTCTGGCTTCAGCACTGCCTTGAGCCTTTTGGGTGCTTTGATGTTTGTCTCTGCTTTCGCATCCGGCCTGTTGCTCCGCTACATGCGGCGACGTCAGCGAGACACGCTGCATCGTCAGGTGGAGTCCGAATCCGACGGAGGATGACGGAAGATGAATCTGTAAATAGCCTTCGTGCCCGTGCGAGTGGCACAGAAGTCATGCTGTGGGGAGGAGGGTTTGCTTCCAATAGACGAAGCAGGTTCCCCACTTGTGCCTCTCGACCATGTCCTTGCTTCCACAAAGCTCCTGTTACGCTGCACGTGGATTCCATGTCTGCGCCGGCGAATGGTGAAAGAAATCAAGGTTGCGCCCACGCAAGCAGAGGTGGAGTTTTAATCGTGGCGTCTTGAAACTTGGGTTTTCCAGAGGCTCCTCTCAAAGGTACGGAAGGTACACAGGACAAAAATCTCGCATCTCTCTGAGTGCTCGGTGTTTATTGTGGCGGCTCCCGCCGTGTGCAGTGCCCTCTGCGCAACGAGGTCTTCATCAGTGTCTACCTGGTGCCGTCGCCGCTTGACTAAAGCACCACCAGGCAGACCTTTCTTGATCGCTTTGCACTGAGGCCGCTGTTCATGACCTCGCTCTTCCCAACAGAGCAGAGGGGACGGGGCGCTGGGCTCTGCTCGGACACTTAGAACATCTCAGAGCCGTAAGAAGTCGTTGTCACCGCACGAGATCTCCCGGCTTTGGTATGGGTGTCACAAGGTCTTGGTCTGGCCTCCGTGGTGGGCGGGCTCATGCCAGCTGCGGCGGGGTAGGGCATGTTGGTTCTTCAGTGTTACAGTGTGCTTTGATCTTAGAGGCCTCCTCTCTGGCAGCCTACAGCTACCTTTGGCCAGGACCTGCCGTTGCAAGGTGGCAGAAATTTGCCGGATATTGTCTGTCCAGATGTTAGCCTGCCAGGAGCCCTGATCTCCTTCCTGATACTACCGTCGCTGCTGCTCCTGGCCGGCGCAAAGCGAGCGGCTTCGCGTGGGCGTCTCACGGTCTTCCAGCGGGCCTGGCTTTTCTAGGGGAGAGCACTCGCAGGGGAGAGATCAGATCAGAACGCAGCCAGCGAGTGGCTTGCTGTGTTGGTTTTCAAAGCGGTCAAAGCACCTTGCACCTTGTCGCAGAACCCCTTCCCGACTGCATCTAAAGGGTGCATTGTACAGGCCTGCGCTTCACTCTGGCATGGCGTGACACTCCAAAAGTCTGAGGTTTCCTAACTGATCATGTCTGCACAAAAACACCATCAAAATCCTTCTCTTTTCAGTTTTTTCATCCCTTGATCCTTCTCGGCAGAAGCAGCACGGCCTTGTCGCGCCAGCTGTCCGGGCAACCGGCGCCCAGGACAGGGAGAGCATGAAAGCATCGTCACCGTGATTACGTGTTGCAGTATGACTTCTCTTTGCTCTCTGACCTTTCGGGAAGATTTCTGCCATCCCATCTCTCAGCATTCAGACCGCCGCGGACGCCTTTCTGGACCTCCGGCAAATCCTCCGTGAGGCCGTTGCATGTGCATGCAAGAGAGCCACCTTCCCAACCGCAAAGCCTTGTGTTTCGAGGGCTTTTTCCCGAAAGCATCGCGAAGGGTTCTTCCGTGCGGAGCCCTCTGACCCAACAACATAGACTGAAGAGCATAGAGTGAGGTGCATAGAGTCAAGTGCATAGAGTGAAGTGCATAGAGTGAAGTGCATAGAGTCAAGTGCATAGAGTGAAGTGCATAGAGTGAAGTGCATAGAGTGAAGTACATAGAGTGAAGTGCATAGAGTGAATTGCATAGAGTGAATTGCATAGAGTGAAGTGCATAGAGTGAAGCGCATAGAGTGAATTGCATAGAGCGAAGTAGAAGTTAATAGAAATTACGAGATTTACGTAGAATTTCGTAGACCTTCGTACCCAGTCCTAGATTTCTAAATTAAAACTAAATTAAAATTACTCTTTCTAAGGCGGCGGGCTGGGTTGACATCGCCAATCGGGATTGCAACCCTCTGCGGGTTTCGGCGTGGTCGCGGCGCTAAAACCATCGTTTATTTACGTTTCTTGATTTGCGCGGACAACCCTCTGCGGGTTTCGGCGTGGTCGCGGTGCTAAAACCGTCGTTTTTTTACGTTTCTTGATTTGCGCGGACAACCCTCTGCGGGTTTCGGCGTGGTCGCGGTGCTAAAACCGTCGTTTTTTTACGTTTCTTGATTTGCGCGGACAACCCTCTGCGGGTTTCGGCGTGGTCGCGGTGCTAAAACCGTCGTTTTTTTACGTTTCTTGATTTGCGCGGACAACCCTCTGCGGGTAATCGCCGGGTCGCGGTGCTAAAACCGTCGTTTTTTTATGTTTCTTGATTTGCGCGGACAACCCTCTGCGGGTAATCGCCGGGTCGCGGTGCTAAAGCCGTCGTTTTTTTACGTTTCTTTCTGGCCGCGGACAACCCTCTGCGGATAATCGCCGGGTCGCGGTGCTAACACCGTCGTGTTTGGAACTTTTTTTCGTGGCCGCAGACAACCCTCTGCGGGTTTCGGCTTTGGCGCGGTGCCAAAACCGTCGTGCTTTTTGCGTTTTTGACATACAAACGTAACCCCTCTGCGGGTTTCGGCGTTGGTGCGGTGCCAAAACCATTTTTTTTTGCGTTTCTTGACATGCAAACGTAACCCCTCTGCGGGTTTTCGCGTGGTCGCGGTGCTAAAACCGTAGTGTTTTTGCGTTTTTTTCGACTTGTGTAGTACAGACGTAGTACGCCGGGGAGTTGCTTGGCTAGAAAGTCGACTTTTGTAGTACAAATGTAGTACGCCGCGGACGCCCGGAGCTTCAGTGGCTGGAAAGTCGACTTTTGTATCGTACAGACGTAGTACGCCGGGGACTTCCGTGGCTGGAAAGTCGACTTTTGTGGTACAAATGTAGTACGCCGCGGACGCCCGGAGCTTCAGTGGCAGGAAAGTCGACTTTTGTAGTACAAACGTAGTACGCCGCGGACGCCCGGAGCTTCCGTGGCTGGAAAGTCGACTTTTGTAGTACAGACATTCCGGGGCCTCGAAAACCTCGCAAATTTCGTGGGACTCGAATTCCAGGGCCTCGAAAACCTCGCAAATATCGTGGGACTCGAGTTCGGGGATGTCGAAACCGTCGCAAATATCGTGGGACTCGAATTCCTCGAAACCCTTGCAAATATCGTGGGACTCGAACTCCGGGGCCTCGAAAACCTCGCAAATTTCGAGGGACTCGAATTCCGGGGCCTCGAAAACCTCGAAAAAAAGGGGCTCGAATTCCGGGATGTCGAAACCATCGCAAATATCGTGGGACTCGAATTCATCGAAAACCTCGCAAATATCATGGGACTCGAACTCCGGGGCCTCGAAAACCTTGTAAATATCGTGGGACTCGAATTCGCAAATATCGTGGGACTCGAATTCCTCGAAAACCTCGCAAATATCGAAAACCTCGCAAATAGCAGGCCAGCTCTGCAACCGTGGAAATGCAGAGATTATGTTCTCTTGGCTAGTTTGAACCGTTGCTTACTCCCCTCGACGCTGTCTTGCGAACGGGTCTTTCGCGTGTACCAGCCCAAGATATAAAAAGCGTCGCTGCTTGGACTCCTGCCTGCGCCTCAAGATGCATATATGTGCCGTCACACATTCAACCGGATGTTCTACACGCATGCGTGCTGTGTTCTTGCTTCCTGGAAGGCGCTCTGGACTATGAGCTCGGACTTCAGAGCGACTGCCGATGATGCTCGTGACTGACGGCTCTCACGCTAGCTTGTCTTTTCTTTCATGGCTTCGTACGGATAAGACTTCCTGGAAGGCGCGCTGGACTATGAGCTTGGACTTCAGAGCGACTGCCGATGATGCTCATGGCTGACGGCTCTCGCGTTGAATGCTTTTTTGTCTTTTCTTTCATGGCTTCGCGTGGAGTGGACGTGCGCAGTCGAGTCGGGTGCAGACAAGTGAAGTTCATACAGTTGCTCAAGTGCAATAAGTTTAACAAATGTCGAGTTCAAGTCCGTTAACTCCGCTAACTTCAGATGTATTGAAGGCCGATGAAGTGTACACAGCTGACCACAAGTGCATGGCATTCAACTCCACACACTTGAATGCCATGCAGTTCAAGTGCATATACACGTCCAGTACACAAGTGCAGTGTACAAGTGACTATGCAACCATGTAAGTGCATACATTTCTCCAAGTGCATACACTTCGACTGCAGAGAGTCAACTGCATGGACTCAACGCACGGCAAATCGATGCTTTCGGGCCATCCCTCTTCTAGTTCAGATTCAGCAGAACTCCAATCCGAGAGGCTGGTGGCGGCTCCTCTGAGGATGGGGCAACAGAGGCGCGCTTCGGACGGCGCTATTGATGTGCGCCTGCGTGGCGTGCTGCGTGGTTGCAGAGGTATTTTTGCAGCCTGGTACTTGTCAACCTATAAGTCTCTTCGGATGTTCTTTGCAGGATTTGCCTTCATGCTTTTCGGATGTGTAACTCGTAAGACAAGCCATCGCCCATGGGATGCCTGTTGAACATATGGAGAAGTGTGACGTTAGATTTTTCAATCTTTGCCAGGCACACCTAGTTCTTGTCGCACATCCGCATCAACTGCCTTACCTGGCTTTGTCATGGCCTCATGCTGTTGTTCTAATGATGTCTGTGTTGGGTCATATCCAGGCGAGAAAACTGCATTTTGTTTGGAGCAGGGCAGGTTCTTGGAGAGCTTACAGAATCTCTGCCAAATCTGCCAAGGATTGCTGTGGCTTCTGGCTTTCGCAGAGTTGCTCTGCTCGACCCGCAGCCCCCTGGACCGATCTCGCAGGAACATGAGAGATGGAACAACTGGAGCATAGCAGAAGGATTGGTGGCTCGCACCAACAAGTCTTGGTGCAACCTTTAAGAGTGCAATTTGGTCTCAGATAAGGGTCTCTCAGCGATAAGCTTGGAGCTCCAAGGCTCTTCGAATCTGTGCCGTGGCAAACCTTCGGTGCCGGCCACAGATTTGGGATCACACCGCGCTGTCACAATGGCTTCCTCAGACCGCATCAAGCCTTTGCGTAGCAGCACAGCAGGTTGCAACCCACTGGGTTACAGAAGTGCCGGGGATGCCTCCGCTGCCTTGGACCTTGAGGCGAGATCGGGAGAT